ATTTTTAGTGTGATAAAATATATATAACATAAAAGTTATGTCAGTCATTTTTAGTGTACACTTCAGTGGCACTGACTGCGTTCACTTTTTTTTTTTTTTTTTGGTGGCACTGCGGATCGAACTCAGGACCTTGTGCTTGTGAGGCAGACACAGTGCCACTGAGCTAAATCTCCAGCCCTGCATTTACATTCTTGTGCAACATCACCACCATCATTCAGAAGGCTGATTTTTTTTCCCCCCCTGGGGATCAAACTTGGGACCTTGTGCTTGCGAGGCAGGCAGCAGCACTACTGAGCTAAATCCCTGGGCCAGGCTGATATTTTTAAGGCTGTAAATAAATTGCCCTATAGAAAAAATATTTGTTGTTTCTCCCAGCAACTTACCCATTTTTCTATTAAACATATTTATTGAATAGTTTCATGTGTCGAGCAATGTACTAAGTACACATAAATATTATATCTGTTTCAATGGTTTTGCTGCAAATAACAGAAAGCTCAATACAAACTGCTAAGTAGTAGTTTTCTTTTCAAGTATGGCTGGATTCATGAGCTGTTTCTGTTGCCAGGGCTCTGTTTCTCCCTATATTAGCTGTGTTCTTCTCCATGTTTGGGCTCTTTTCTCCAACAAGCTTCTCCCTTGTGGTATCAAAATGACCACAATAGCCCTTTACCAGAGAGAGAGAGAGAGAATATTACTCCTCTTTCAGCAAGACAAAAGTCCTGAGATTTAATGATTAGTAAAGCTTAGAGCACGTACTTTACCTCAAACCAATGGTGAGGCCACAGGAATGGGATCAACTGGCTGATTTAGGCCTAGTCTTTGTCTTCAGAACTGAAAATTCTCAAAGAAAACCAGACCTATTGTCAGAAGTACAGGAAGAGACACTAGGGTGTCACAAAAAACAACATCCCCTGAAATTCAGAAGGAATAAAGTGAGAGTATAATATATAACAAACTATATCATATATCACATAAAAATTCAATTAAGAGGAAAGGGAGGGCCAGGGATTTAGCTCAGTGGCACTGGAGCCTGCCTTGCAAGCATAAGGTCCTGAGTTCGATCCCCAGTACCATTATAAAAAAAAAGAGGAAAGGGAGTAAAGTTCTGCCCAGTAGATTGTTTAAGGAAAAAGAAAAAAAAAAAAAAAAAAAGCAGGCCAGGGATTTAGCTCAGTGGTTCCACCACCTGCCTTGCAAGTGCAAGGACCCAAGTTCAATCCCCAGTACGGAAAAAGAAAAAAAAAGCATGGGCCAGGAATTTAGCTCAGTGATGCCTCACCTGCCCCTCAAACACAAGGTTCAATCCCCAGTACCAAAAAAAAAAAAAAAAAAAGCATACTTAGGACCATAGTCCATTCTAGGTACAGTTTTACATAAATATATTTAAAAAGTACAGCATTGATCTTCAGAAAACTTATGCTTTCATAAGATCTAAACACAATAGGTTAAGCATCAAGAGAGGCATGGTACTGCAGAATCCCAGACAAAGGTACCCCCAACATGGGCTGAGAACTCAGGAAAGGTTTCCTAGAGTAGAAGATATCAGATCTGAATCATGTTACATAACACAAAGAAAGATTTAAAGAGACTTTAGGGGAAAAACTGCATAAAATGAATGGAAGGGAATTATAAAAAGTCCAATATCCAAACACTAACATCTGCTAAGGGCTGCTAGTATGGGCTAGATATTTCTCAGCCCCTTCTCTGTAATATTTCGTATCATTCATTTGTTCAGAGAATAGCAAATAGCCTACTATCTTGGAAGGGATATTCATGAAAAGTAAAACAAATAAAATTCAAGAAGCAACCAAAGAAAGCCAAAAAGGGGCCAGGGGTTTGGCTCAGTGGTTCTGCCACCTGCCTCGCAAGTGCAAGGATCCCAGTTCGATCCCCAGTACCCAAAAAGAAAAAGAAAGCCAAAAAGATCAGACAGAAGAAAGCAGGCTGGGACCAGAATACAGAAGGATTTTAAATACTTACCTATATCTAACTCAATAGGTATAGTATTAGGAGCTAAAGAAAAATCTTTCATTTGCAGCAATGGTGTGTTGTGTTCAAGGCCACATTCCATAAACATTTTCTGGATATGATACCAGCAAGATTACATGGAATGGAGAGAAATATATTTATTATGAAGCCGCGTGTGGTGGTGCATGCCTGTAATCCCAGCACTTGGGAGGCTGGGGCAGGAGGATCGCTGTGAGTTTGAGACCAGCCTGGGCTACATAGTGAGTTCCAGGTCAGTCTCAACTGCATAGTGAGACCCTGTCTCAAAAAACCACACACACACACAAAGAGAAATATATTTATTATGTATTTGTTTGTTTGTTGAGACAATGTGGCCTCATGGCAATCCTCCCACCTCAGCCTCCTGCATGCTGGGATCGCACATGTGCACACATTTGTCTGGGTTTTCTTTTGTGGTACTAAGAACCGAATCCAGGTCCTCATTCATGTTAGGCAAGCACTCTATCACTGAGCTATATCCCCAGCCCTGAGAATTATATCTGGGATGACAGTGAAGAGGATCATGAGATCTGTCAGTCAGAAGCCCAAAGAATCTCCTGCTGTCTGATTCTCCAAAGCCTCCAACATGCATTTTGGAAGCTTTGATCACTTATAAATTTTCTTCTATTTTTCATCTCTGTAGAGAATGCACCCCCCTCGCTTCTTTAAGTCTCCCTGAGCAGAGGACACTTGATCATACCACTGGGCTCAGAGCTTGCCTAGATGTGTGGAAGCCACTGCTTGCTAACCCCATGCAAACTCAACTGAGAGCCTAGAAATCATTTCACCTTTTCATTTTCAGTAACTACATTTAAGCAGTCACTAAGTGTTGTTAATTCTGTCCTTTCATTCTTTTCCACAACAGTGTTTTTTGTTTGTGGGACAGAGGGGACTGTGCTGGGGATCAAACCCAGGGCCTTGTGCATGCTAGGCAAATGCTCTACCACTGTATTCCCAGCTGTCTTGTGTGTGTGTGTGTGTGTGTGTGTGTGTGTGTGTGTGTGGGGCTGGGAATTGAACTCGGGACCTTGAGCTTGTGAGGCAGGGCGGAGGAACCACTGGGCTAAATCCTCAGCCCTATAATGTTTTTCATTTAGGATTTCATTATCTTTTGCCTGAAATGTTTACATTTTTATTTAAAAACTTTAAACTATACATAAAGAATAATGAACTCTACATTTCCATCATCTGGATTTGATCATAAATTTTTTTGCCATGGTTACTTTGTCTATTTTGGGGGGAGGTTGGTACCAGGGATCACACTTGGGACCTTGAGCTTATAAGGCAGGCAGTGGCACCACTGAGCTAAATCCCTGACCCCCTTTGCCTATTTTTTATAAAGGTTTAAAGCAAACCAGACATCATAACATCTTACCCATAAACATTTCAATATGCTGCTTTATTATGCTTTTGCTTTTTTTTTTTTTTTTTTTTTTTTTTGGTACCATGCATCAAACTCGGGTCCTTGCACTTTCGAGGCAGGTGGTGGAACCACTGAGCCAAATCCCCAGCCCTATTTTATTATGCTATCACAATAACATTATCACACCTAACAGAATTAACACTACTTCCTTAATGTCATCTAATTCTCTGTCTCCTAAAGAGTCTCTTTACAATTGGTCTGTTTTAATTAGGGTCAAACATGACCCACACATTGATCTTAGCTGTATACTTCTTCACATGTAGTTGAGTTCTCTTAGAAACTGAACAGTTCCCTGCCTTTTATCCTTTACAGTGATCTGAAGCAATTAGGTCAGCTGTCTGATCTCATCTGAATGATTCCATGGTGTTGCCGGCAATCCTCTCTTCCTCTCCATGTAGAAGTCTGAGGTAGTAGGATCGTTTGAAGCCTGCCTAAGAAACACAGGAAGACCCAATCTCAAAAAAGAAAAAAACATAAACATTTTCAGTGGTTTCTTAGTTTCCCTGCCTGGAGTATTGCTCCTTTCCAACAACCCTCTAAACCATCTTCCATACTACCATCAGAGCCATCATTCTAAAATGTAATTTGGGTCATCCTCCCTTCTCTCTTCCTCCCCAACCCCTCGCATCTTTCTTTCTTTCTTTGAGCCAGGGTCTCACTATGTGGCTCAGGCTGGTCTTGAACTCTCAGCAATCCTTCTGCCTCAGCCTCCTGAGTGTTGGGATTACAGGTGTGCATTACCACACCAGGCGCTTCCCTTCTTCAAACTCTTCAATTGTTCCTATGAGCAACCAAGATAAGGTCCAAACTTCTTCCTCTTCATATAATGTTTCCACTGACCTCTGCCTAAAAGTTCAGTCCATCTTTGGTGGATGCTTCTTATACTAGGCAGGCCAAACCCTACCTGATCCCACTTCTCCATCCAACTGCTGGGTAGGCAAATGAACAATAAATGAATGGGTTTACATTATAACCTCATAAGCACTAAATTTGTCCCAAAAAGAACTTTCAAGCAGTCATTTTTGTTTTGTTTTGTTTTGTTTTGTTTTGTTTTGTTTTGTTTTGTTTTTTGAGACAGGGTCTCACTATGTACTTGAGACTGACCTGGAACTCTCGAACTCACAGCGATCCTCCTGCCTCAGCCCCCCAGTGCTGGGATTACAGGCCTGCACCACCATGCCCAGCCTCAGTCTTGCTCACAGCTCTTGAACTGCTGCTCCAGGGCACAGCTAGGGCTGGGGCAGAGGCAGGGTCACTCCTATTTACAGCAAGGCCCAAAACTGCAGCCTGTATTCCTCTGAAAGTCCTGTGGCATTTGGTGACTCAGATTCTGTTACAAAACCACTGAGTTCTCAATAAAGAGGAGCATTTCTGAAAATATATCTGGGGTGAGGGGAATTCCTTCCTCAGAGAAGATTTGCTTTCTCACCAATATAATATAACAGAAAGGAGAAAATAACAGAAAAAGCAGGTTATTGCCAAATCCAATTAGCATGCTGTTGTTCATTATCAAGCATTTAAAAATCTACTAACTAATATCATGACATGCTATGCATGTCACTTCCCTCTTTTGGTCTGTTTTTTAATCCCTCAAACAAAACTATTAGACTGGATGATCTCTAAGATCACTTCCAGCTCTATTATTTTATTTTTCTATGAGTTTGCTTATATGAGTTTGTATAATATAAACTTTATATAATACCAATAAAACATGTTTGGTGCGGTAAAGAGTTTGATACGGTGAATTCTTAATAATGTTTTACAGATGTGGAAACTGAGGACAGCCTGGAAAAAAATTTTTTGTTTCAGACACATGAATTCTTGAGCTTTATTTCATTAAGCAATCAATATCTTCTGGTTGCCAGAAGGGTCTGAAGTATCTTTTTCTCTAGAAAAGCTGGTTGGTCCTCCTACCCCTCCGCACCTGAGGCCTGCAGAAAAAACAAAGGGCAGAGTATTTATTATGAAAAATATTAAAGCACCACCTACTCCATTTCCACAGCCTACCTAGCCTGAAAGTAAGAAAAGTCAATGGCACTCAAACTGCCACAGGCACGTAAGAGGCTAAAAAAGGAGGAAAACAGACTGGAGGCTGCTGAAGATGCGTTTCGGGGATCTGTGAACTAGGATTGGGGGGTGGGCACCCTAGGGAGGGCATCATGACAAGGTCAACCTCATTTCTTCTCTCTGTTCTTGGCAACAGCCAGTCTAGCCAGAAAGAGCAATCTGTCAAATCTAATTAGAGCAGAAGAAAGTGAACAATGGGCGCCCAGCTCCGAAATGACAGCCCAGTTTAATGAGGTGGAGGAGCTTGGGAGAGATATGTGCTTTGTGTGCTTGGAAATGGTTCTTTCAAACGGATCCTTTCTGAACTCAAACCGTAAAACATCTCTAACTGGATTCCTGTTTACTCCACCAGGACTCTCCAGGTCCCTGAACTTTTAAACTCATATACATTCAGAAAAAGCAGAGGAGAACCTGGCTGTGTTTCAAAGGTGAGAATGTAATAGGAAATAGTTATATCATGTGTGGCTTTAGACGTGGTATAATGTGCATGTGATTGATATTTATGATTTTGTCTATTTCTTTTTCTTTAATTATATCTATGGCTTTAGTATTTCTCATTATTTTTGCAATTCTTTTTATTATGATGGTTAAAATTGGATTCTTAAAATTTCATAACAGCTTAAAATTTTGTTTAGGGTGACAAATAAGTACATTTTAAGACACAAAAACAGTTGAATTATATTTTTGGCTTATACTTTAAATGACCTCTCTAATTTGGATATTCTAGTTCTTGCATCAAAAGTGGGTTTCATAAGGAAAAGAGATATTTTATAAATTCACTTAAATAAGTATATTCTTTAAAATAAAAATACAGACACAGGCACCTAAGCCGAAAAACCATGCCTATGCATAATGTAAAGTCTCAAATAAGAGAGTTCTATCTGTTAGCAGCAAATATTATACTGAAGATTAATGGTTTAAGAATTTAACTCTGCCTCAATGTGGGACAGTCGGTCATCTTAAAGATGAAAGAAAAATATTTCTGTGAAGTGGGAGGGAGAAAATGGGAAGAGATAAGCATAAACACAACTTGTAATTTATAAGCATCAGTCTGTGTGGGTTTGATGTTATTTTCTATTTGTTTTCTCATTGAATCCTCCCAGGTTTCTGTAAAATGTTTCTATTCTCTCCATTCTGTAGAAACAGAAATTGGCACAATGTTACAAAGAAATGCACACTCGGGCCTTGAACTTAAGTCCTCTAGTTCCAAGTATAGTGAACTTCTTGGGACCATATTTGTGGTAGAGATGAGACATTAAATGTCTTTAAATCATTAAATTCATAATAATGTCGACACAAGGACTTTTCTAATCAATGATTAATCTAACCAGTAGGTCTTTTATGGACATGAATGAGGCAATGTTTTTAGATTGGTGTATTTGTACCACTTCACTGCATGGTGAAAACCTGTATTTTCTAACAACATCACTGTTTTCTTTTACATATCTTTTATATGAATAAATTACCTTATAAAATGATAAAGAAAATGTCTGCCATTACTATCACCTCATCCCTAATCCAGTCCTCTTCCCAGAAAAACCACTATTATCAAACTGTTTTCTATTTGTGTTTGTATAGGGTATGTGTGTGTGTGTGTGTGTGTGTGTGTGTATTATTGCTTTGTATGACTTTTAAAAACATAAACGGTGTCATTCTCTACTTTTTTTTCTCAACTTGCTTTTTTAAAAAGCTATGCCTTATGGAGTTCTTTTCATATCGATAGATTTAAATGTAATTCATTCTTCTAAACTGCATTAACATAGCTCTAGCATTTCATGCACTGTCACTTTCACTGTTTCCTCTACCTAACCTATGTTTTCAAAGTCACTTAATGGCATAACAACTCAACACTTAACTATATTTGTATTCATGGGGCAGGTAGAGACAGGTACAGGTTCTGTGGTTGACTGGAGAGTTGCTAACAACACACAAGGCAGGAAGGAAAAATAGCAAGGACCCACCACAGTGAGTGGAGACATGAAGCCCAGGGCCTGTAAGCATTTCTGTTGTAGACTTGTTATCTCTCTGTCTCCCAATATTTTAGCAAATGCTTTCTTTCTTTTTTTTTTGAACCACCAACTCCACACTTACTCTTGCTATAGAAGAAATAATAGAGCCGGGCACAGTAATATAGGGCTGTAATCCCAGCTACTTAGGAGGCCAAGGCGGGAGGATCAGAAGTTCTAGTCCCATTTGGGCCATTTACACAAAACCCTGTCTCAAAACAAAAAGGCTCAGGGTACAGCTCAGTGGTAAAGGGCCCCTGGGTTCAACGCCCAGTACCCAGTAAGGGGAGGGGGGGGGCATTTTACAATAGCAGCATCAAACCCAGGGAATTAAGCTGTGTGAACTGTGAACTGTGCTTGCATAGCCCCTTTCCTCTTTTCCTCTCCCTCCCATCAGACCTATCCTGAGGCTCAGAGAAGGGTGGTTAATGAATGCAGCTACGAAGGACATCAGTAGATGTCTTGGTGCAGCATTGTGTCCAAAAGTACTGGAGACTGGCTGAAAGCTGGATTAGTCCTTCCGCGACTACTGATAAATTGTATGGCTTACATAATGTTTTGTAACATGTAAAAAAGGGTAATACTAACAAGTGAAACTTGCCCGTGGGGTGGAATGAGGTTTAAAAGTCAAGTACTCTATGTATTTCTGGTATATAGCAATGCCTGCTGTCTCCACTACCATTCGGATACGTTGCAGCATCCCCACGGTGTAGTCTGTCTTCAAAGGGTCGCTATCTAGTTTCCTCACAAGTGACAATGAAAGACCAAGCTGAATCTCCAGATTAGAGCACATGCATTCATTGTTCCTTTCATGTCTGGGGAGGGGTAACCCGGGAGCTTCGCACTGAGCTACCTGACAGCGCTTTAAAAAACAAAAAAACATTGTTTATTTTGAGACAGGCTTTTGATAAATTGCTAAATTGCCCAGGGTGGGTTTAGCTGGGATTACAGGCGCTCACCATCACGCTTGGCTATTAATGCATTATTATCACATTTTAAAAGCAAGTATTCTCTACCACGTTCATCCTCCTGCTGAGTGTGCGTAAAATTTATAGATGGAGCAAATCTCTTACTCTCACAGTACTCACAATTTTTAAATTAGAGTATTTTAATAGATGACGATTATCTGCTCATTTATTCCGTATCTAGTTTCAGAATTCTTTTAGAAGCCTGCCTGGGCGTCACCTAGAGAGCTGGAGCCATTAGTGCCTCTCTCCCTCAGCGCCCCTGGGCTGGTTTCCTGGTCCGAGCGACTCTCGTTTCTCCCAGAGGACCGGAAGGAAAAGAAGGCCCAGGGCCGACCGGGGCGGCAGCCCCACAGTCTGGGGCCGGCTTTCACGGAAACACGCGGACGCTTGCGGTTTCCGGCACGGCGTGAGCGGGTGTCTAGCAGCCAGATGAGATGAAAAAACAAATAAAATAAAAAGGAACTATATTTGCCCCTTGAAGCGACTGCAACTATCCTGTTTAGGGAACAGAGTCCCAAGAAATAAACCCATGGTGTTTCCAAAATGTCCTCTTATCCTTTCTCTGACTCACGGAACCCACTTTCTGTGTGCGAGCGCATTCCAGCAGCCTAAACTGGAATTCCAGCTGGGCCGGAGTGGCCGCTTCAGCTGTCCAGGAAGCCTCGTCGGCTGTGGTTTCACAATCAACCCGCAGCAGATGCGCTGGGCGCTTAGGGAGTGGCAGGCCGAGCGCCACACCTCAGAAAATGGGTGTCTTTTTGGTACCGGGGAGTGCGCGTTCGAGGCAGGCGGAGGCACCACTAGCTAAATCCCCGGCCAGGGTTTCTTGTCTTTTAGAGAAGCTATGCTAAAACATTCTTTGGAGTAAAATATCACTTATAGTGTAAAAAGGTGAGATTCTCAGAGAGCCCTCTTTTACTGGTAAAGAGATGATTTCCTATCAGACAAATCTGCTCCTTAAATCCGACCTCTGAGAGCAGATCCCCACCACCACCACCACCACCACCAGGGATCAAACTCAGGACCTTGCCTCGCCAGGCAGGTGCAGCGCTGCTGAGCTACATCCCCGGACCAAAGAGCAGATTCTTAAAGGTGTAATTGTTGAGCTAAGTACAAGCAAAATACTATGCACCACCTCTTTTGAAGGCAATCTTTTAATTTTATTTTGATAAGGAGGGGCACATTCTGATTTTTTTTTTTTTTTTTTTTTTTTTTTTTTTTTTTTTTTTTTTTT